TTGAGAACTGATGGTGGAGGAGAATATGTGTCGAAAGACTTCGACAGATTATGTGAAAAAGAAGGGATTGTGCATGAGGTGGTGCCACCCTATACTCTACAGCAAAATGGAATTGCAGAAAGGAAAAATCGAACCATCATGAATATGGTGAGAAGTATGTTGAAAGGCAAGAATTTACCTAAAGAGTTCTGGGGTGAAGCTGTTTCGACTGCAACTTATATTTTGAACAGATGTCCTACAAAGAAGCTAGAAGGAATTACTCCAGAAGAATGTTGGTCTGGTGTGAAGCCTAGCTTAAGTCATCTGAAGGTATTTGGATCTATTGCACATAGACATGTGCCAGATCAGTTGAGAAGAAAACTTGATGACAAGTCAAGTCAAATGATCCTAGTTGGATATCATTCGACAGGAGGCTACAAGTTGTTCGATCCAGAGAACAAGAAGATTATGATCAGCATGGACGTGATCATAGATGAGTTTAAAGAATGTGATTGGACTGCAAATGTCAAGAAAGATTCAGTGGGAATCTTATTCGAAGAGCCAGAAACTCAAGTCGAAAGAGAAGTTCGACAAGAGGAACCAGCAGATATACCAAGTACAAGCAGGCCTCAAAGAACAAGACGCATGCCTGCAAGATTGCAAGATTGTGTGATTACATCAGATGATGTAATATATGATGAAGGTGAGCTGGTACATTATGCTTTCTATGCAGATGTCGAACCTGTTAATGCAGCTGAAGCATTAAAAGATTCGAAGTGGGTGAAAGCAATGACCGAAGAAGTAAAGTTTATCGAAGACAACAACACTTGGTCACTTGTCGAATTGCCTCAAGGCAAGAAGGCAATTGATGTCAAGTGGGTATACAAAGTGAAGACGAATTCGAAAGGTGAAGTAACTCGACACAAAGCAAGACTTGTGGCGAAAGGATTTCTACAGAAAGAAGGAATAGACTTCGACGAAGTCTTTGCACCTGTTGCTAGGATCGAAACAATCAGGCTGGTTGTTGGTCTAGCAGAAATCAACAGTTGGCACATATGTCAGATGGACGTGAAGTGTGCATTCCTAAATGGACCCTTAGATGAAGAAGTCTATGTTAAACAACCAGTTGGGTTTGTGAAACATGACGAAGAAAGAAAGGTGTACAGGCTACATAAAGCCCTGTATGGATTGAAACAAGCTCCAAGGACTTGGAATAAGAAAATTGATAGTTTTCTAAGAGAGAAGGAATTTGTGAAGTGCATAACTGAACATGGAGTATATGTAAGAAGAAGCAAGAGTAAATTTCTTATACTATGCCTCTATGTAGATGATTTGTTGATAACAAGTAGCTGCAAGAGTGAGATCGAAGACTTCAAATGTGATCTCAGCAAGGAATTCGAAATGTCTGATTTGGGTGAGATTTCATATTTCCTTGGTATCGAATTCTACAAGAGCAGTAGAGGTTTGATGATGCATCAAAGAAGATATGCAGGAGAAATTCTCAAGAGGTTTGAGATGGAAGAATGCAACTCAACTTCGACACCTGCAGAACCAAGACTGCAACTGTCGAAAGATGCAGATGAAGATGATGTTGATCCAACCCAATACAGAAGACTTATTGGATTATTGAGATACATTTGTCATACAAGGCCTGACTTAGTATACAGTGTAGGTATGGTAAGTAGATTCATGCAGAAGGCAAAGGTATCACATCTAGCAGCAGTGAAGAGGATACTAAGGTATCTCAAAGGAACTTTCGATTATGGCATTTTGTTTCCTGCAGTTGATAAAGGAAAAGAATGCAAGTTAGTGGGATACACTGATTCGAGTTGGTGTAGTGATGCTGAAGATCGAAAGTCAACAGCAGGATATGTGTTTATGCTAGGTGGTGCACCAATTGCTTGGAATTCAAGAAAGGAACCAGTAGTGACATTATCATCATGTGAAGCAAAATACATAGCTGCTTCTCTTTGTACATGTCAAGCAACTTGGATGATGAGCTTGGTCGAAGAGATAACAGGGAAAAATCATGGAGCAATTACCATGAAGATAGACAGCATGTCAGCTATTATCTGGCGAAGAACCCAATAGCACATGGTCAAAGTAAGCACATCGAAATGAGGTTCCATTATCTTCGAGAGCAGGTAGCAGATGGGAAGATGAATTTGGAACACTGCAGAACTGAGAATCAGATTGCAAACATCATGACGAAGGGAGTGCAAGTCGAAGTATTCAGAAAGCTAAAGGTCATGATGAACATAGACAGTTTAGATACAATGAATTAGGTGGTGTATTAAATTGTAATTCATATGTGTCAAAATTAGATTTGATTTTGTTTTAGATTTAAATAGATTTGAATTTAAGTCTAGAATAGATTTGATTAGATTTGATTTAGTAAAAAGATATTTTGGGCTTGGGTTTTAGTTTAGGGAGCAAGCTAACCTAAATCTATAAATAGAGGGAGTAACCCCTATTTTGTAATAAAGTCATTCACAGTATTTTGCAGTTGCAAAGTGAATAATAAAATTTCCACAGTTTGTAGGCAGAGAGAAACTCTGTAGAAATATCTCTATTGTCTTTTCTTTGTTTGTCTCATAACTAATCATCAGTGGTGGTCGAAATTCATCATAGAGTATTGGTGGATTTCCAACATATATATGTTTTGACATTTTGAAAAATGAAGATTTGAATTCACGACCCCGAAAGAAAAAATGTGTTTAGACATTTTGAGAAATAAGATAAATTTTGAAAGGTATCACATAGAAACCGAAACATAAGAACATGAATATATGTGATATGTGACGTTGCACAAATGGAGCTTGTTAACGCAAGAATGTGTGGCCTTCAATCCTTCACTCATGCCAGAGCAATGGCTGACATGAAACACCTTTTGACATTTGCTGAAGTGTAAATTTCCTTCCATCCTTCACCTTCTTTATAATTCTCAACCTGCGTGCACATAAATGCAAAAATATGAATGTGAGACTATTGCAAATAAATGCAAAAATATGAATGTGAGACTATTGCAAAATGTATTAACAAAGACAATATCAAGGCTTAGCCCCCCAACTCCCTTAACTTAATTTAATTTAATATTCCGTTTTAATTCTTTAACTGAAAAATATTACAAGTTAATTAGTTTCTTAACTTCCATCAATTTTTAGAAAAAAACATTAAATTCTGATGATATAACAAAACTCAAAGTTTAAGTATGACTCATATTTGTATTTTAAAGTAGAATTTTCACTTAATTAGATGTTATAAAAATGATCACAATAAAAATGCATTAAGTGGAAACCTTATTTTATAATATAAATGATGAGTCACATTTGAACCTTGAGCTTTGTTGTACATTTACGTCACCAGAATTTAACGTTTTTTTTTGTCAAAAATTGATAGAGAAGACCAACTAGGATAACAAAAGTAAAGTTAGGAGACTAACTTATAACGTTGTTTAGTTAAGAGACTAAAAATGAATATTAAATTAAATTAAGGAATTAAAACATGTACTAAACCAAATATTAATTTTAATATACTTACAGTATTTACGATAGTTTGACGATCATTAACACCTCCAACCACAAAGATGGAATCTTTGACAACTGCAGCAGCAAAATACCCCCTAGAATGATTCATTGTTGTTTCCTCCATCATCCATGTCCCGAGACGAGGATCAAAGACTTCAACACTTGGAACCATTGTTTCTCCATCAAAGCCACTTAACACATACCTATGCAAGGAATAGAACAGAACGTTATAGAAGAGGAAAGTTAAGTTTCTGGCTAGAAATAACTATTTTTATCTATATACAAGTTTGCCATGTTAATACCTATTGTTGATAGTCTAAAATTGGAGATGATCATAAATATGCTTATAAATCGGTTACATCTCTCACTTTACAAGTCGGTTTTATGAACTTGAGTTACGCCCAACTCAAATTCTAAGATAGTATCACAGCGTATCTATGATCTGATAGGTATATTGGAAGGAAAAAAAACCAATGGGGAGACCCTCTATCAAGCCACATATGTGATGCAGAGATGTTCAGTCTTGGGATTGAATGTGTTGACAAAGTCTCACATTGGATAAAATATGATTAGAAAATATCTTTATATAAGTGAGACATCTCATCTTAGTCGATTTTGGCGAATTGAGAGCTAGACTTGATTCAAATACAAAGAATTACCAAATGATGAATATAGGAAACAAATAAAAAGAGCCTTGTCACAACACTTGGAGTTACAGTTGATACATGTGCCACTGTACGCACCTCCGATTTTAACCGCACTCATTCCACAATGTTTGCCGGGCCTTCCTCTCTTCGATTTAACCCTTTCCGGTGTTATGGTCTCAAGTTTCCAGCATGTTTGAACTGGTTTTTGTGTGGCTGAGTTGTTTTTTGCCAAAACGGCACTCGAGCATTCAGTTCGTCGCTGTTTCTAGTGTTTGAATCATTCTATTTCATTTTCTTTCATCATGGAAAAAGGACTCTTAATGAAACTAAGTATAACAATAAGAGTTTGATTTCTTTCGCCTTTTCTGGAAGTCCTACCATCAAGTAAGAGAAGTTGAATGGGAAGAATCATTTGGATTCACTTAATACAATGGAAATATGCTTTTCTGGGTAAAGGACTATTTGACCATCTTGATAAGAAGGCAAATGGCATTGCTGTTCCAAAAATGGAATAGTGGAAACAAGCTGATTTTCAGCTCTTGGCATTATTGGTTTCAGTTCATTGAATTGAAGTTGATGGTTCACTTCTGTCTGTTACAAACATGTAATGAGGTTTCGAAGAAGGCACAAACAGTTTATGCTATTGATATACAACAACTATATGAGACAATCCTTAACCCGACAACACTTCAGATGTCTAATCTTGATTTATCTGCCTATTTGAACAAGGCACAATCTGTTTGTGAAGAAGCTAAGTTGATAATCTTAAATCAGAATGTAAAGAAGATGGCAGCAACATTAGCATACAATATGCTAATGGTGTTTGTTCTCCATGGACACTCACTAATTGGAGGTGTTCTTTGATTGTTTGCTACGAGTTTCTTCTGCAGATGCAACCATCAGTACTGATGCTCCAGCACGAGTAGAGTCTTCAATGTTGGTGTCCAACACTCCAATTCTGCTGATCGTGGAGACTGAGGTTGCGGACATAGAGGTGGTGGTTGTGGCAAAGGTGGTAGAGGACATCTTTATTGCGCTTAAGGTAAGCGGGATGAACATACTCAAGATCAGTGTTATTCTTTCATGGATTTCCAACCAAAACAGCTAATGTAGCTCCATCTTCGAGGCCCCTTGTCAAGCAAAAGTTCCAATCCGAAGTTGATAGTAAGCATCATCAAGAGTACCCTTAGTTTAAGGCAACTCAAAAGACTTCATCCATTTTAGGGGCAAAGATTTGTGGTGGTGGCATGAAAGTACTTAGAGTAAGAGTAAAAAATGACTGTTTGAAAGAATGGTCTAGGTGTAAAAATGTTTAAACTTGGGAAAAGTATAAGAAAGCTAAGAACAAGACCAAGAAGGCGGTGAATGAAGCAAGAACCCAAGATTTTGATGGATTATACCAATCTTTAGGAACTAATGAGGGAGAAAACTCTATATATAGGTTTGCTAAGGGAAAAGAATGAAAGACAAGAGATTTGGATCAAGCAAAGTGTGTTAAAGATGAAGAAGGCAAAGTCTTGGTTCAGGAAAAGGATATAAAGGATAGGTAGAAGACGTATGTCTACACTGTTTCCCCTAAGAAGGATACAAAGGATAGGTGGAAGACGTATTTCCTAGAATATTCTATAAAGGATAGGGTGAAGGGCTTATTTATATGGATATAGGCCACACTAATATTTTTGTCTTGCTATGTCTAATACAACATGTGAATGAGATAGGTCCTGTAGAACTTGCTTCTGACAACCAATCAACTTTACATATCTTGTCTAATCCAATCTTCAGTGAGAGGACTAAACACACAGAAGTTGGTTGTCATTTCATTAGAAAGAAGATTCTCTTGGACAACATCAAGACTTTCTTAATCTTACCTAATTATCAACTTGTAGACATGCTAACTAAGTCCTTACAAGGTCCTAGTAGCTTTCATATGTAACAAGCTAGAAGTGCATGACATATATGCTCTAGCTTGAGGGAGAGTGATGATTGTAAATATATTTTGTAATTGTTATTTGATTTATCAAGCAGGATTCTATATTCCTGAGTAGCTGATTCTGTTTTGATATGATTCTATAATTACGATATCCTATTTACTCAGCCTCTTCTACTTATAAACTTGTAATTCTCTTATGATACATGAGAAATATTCAGATTTAATTGATGTTAAACTCACAATTTTTCATTTAGAGCAACTATTGAGTGACAGCCACGTCTTGTATTCATGTTAGCTATTTTGGACCAAGAATGTTCCCTGGGATCAAATCTTTCTGCAGAACTGCAATTATGTTGAAGAGTCAGTCATATTAGTAATTACATACAGTTGTACAAACATAAATAAATAATAAATAAATAAATAAATAAAATATATCTACTATGTAAAAGTAAAATAAAAATCACTTCTAGATCAACCATGTTTACTGGATAATTTTTTTAGCCATATATACAAATCAATTGAACAGAAATCATGTTATAGTTCTTACTTTAAATAGTAATTTCCATCAAATCCACCAGTAGCATAAATCACACCATTGAGTTCTACTGCAGCAAGAGCAAATCTCTGGAAATATGAAGAGAATTCAAGCAATAAATTTAACAATTTTGTAAATTTGTCAAAGAAATGATACAGATGAATACTTTATTTAATCTATAATGTGACTAAGAAGAACAAACTTCTGTTAGGTAGAGCACATCAAATGATCAATCAAGCCATGAATATTTACCATTTGAAAGAATAACATTACCTTGTTAAGCATTGAACGTGTGGGGATCCACCGCCCAACATCTAGATCAAGCATCTCAACATCCGAAAAGCACTCAACGCCGTTGCCACCTCCAACGGCAAATATCTTTCCATCCAAAGCAGCACCAGACAAGCTTCCTTTCTTTTGGTTCAAAGAGGGACACAAGGTCCAGTTGTCATAAATTGGATTGTACGATTCAACTGAGCAAACATAAGACTAAAACTGTTAACAAAAGTTTCTCATTGTAAAAAATCTGTATTTAAAACCATAGTAAGATCATACCTGTGTCAAACCAATCACGATCATTTCCACCACCGATAACATAAATCTCTCCATTCAACTCTACAGCTGAAGCATAAGATCGAAGATGGTTCATAGGCTTGAAAGATTTGATCACATTCTGAGAAGTACAATACATATCCATAGCGGCTAACGATGATTCTCCATCGGAGCCACCTATTAAAAAAAATGAATCTTTGGCATCTAAATGCAGCTCAGCAGATGGATTGATTACTGTCTCATCAACATGTGTCGGAGGAGTATCACGTGTAGATTCTAACGGCATAAAACGGTCTTTTAGAAGCTGAATTTCCATTTCAGCCTTAATCTGAATGGAAAATAAAATAAGCCAATAGTGATATCAGAAGAGTGCATTCACATATTATATGAAAAATAGAAAACAAGTGCAATTAAAGATAAAAAGTTAACTTCAAAAGAAAATTCTGACTTCATTTTCACTGAGATAGTTGTCTTTTAGATAATCACCAACCTAATTGATTTAAGTTATTCACACTTGTTAGACTTACTAATTAAACTCACCAAATTACGACACAAGCTTCTTATAGACTCATCAATAATCTTCAATTCTTAGTTTAAACACACATATGGAATGCGTTAGTGCACAAGAATCAATGATGAACAAAGGAATATGTTTAAGAGAGCAAAGAGAATGACGGCTACAAAGTTGTAAGGAAGAATGATTGAACAATGATTGTTGTTACTGTTACTGTAACAAATGACAGCTACTATTAGTCTATTTATACACAACGTAAATTGCCACGTAGGTCCTAATAAAAGGTAAACTTAATGACTAAATTAAAAGGTACAAACTAGGAAATACTAAACTTAACAACTACGCTAACAAACTCAGAACCTAGAAGCTGAGCTGAACATACTTCTGGACGTAACCTCAGAAACTTCTGCTTTTGACTAACAACAACTTCTTAATATATCAAACAATTGCTTCTAACTAAGCAGTCTCAAAAGCTTACAGCTTCTGACTAACAACCTCAGAAGTTCTACTGCTTCTGAGCAACACTGATTCTACCAACAGCTTATGAATATGAATTACTTCCAACACCATCTCTTAGCTCATATTCAGCTAACCAAAAAAAAAACTACAACACCAATTTCATCTCTCAAATAGATAAGGTTTTCAGTCTTGACATCCTTCGTCAGAACATCTGCAAGTTGCTTCTGGTTGCTAGAGTGTGCAATTTCTAATACTCCATTTAGAAATGCAGATTTCCCCTTGAAGAGTCATCTAACACTGATGTTTCTCTTCTCCTTCGGAAGCTCAGTTAACTCCCAAGTCTTGTTTCTTTCAATAGCATCAAGCTCTTCTTTCATGGCCTTCAGCCACACTTTCTCCTTGAGAGCTTCACAGATTGACAACGCAACCACCAATTGCTTCTTGGAGCACCAAGAAATGGGAATTTCAAGATACAAACAAAAATATCCAGAAGTATTTCTTCTGTCAACTCTCGGAGTCCGTTCAATATCTTGCAGCTTGTCAAACTCTGCAAATCTCCTTGGTATTTTTCAGATTTGTTGTGGACTTTCTTCAGAAGATTGACTACCACCAGAAGCTCTACCTCTATTAACTTTTGGACCTCGTCCAAAACCACTACCTTCAGAAATACCACATTCAAAAGTTAGATCGCCTTCAGAAGTTCCACCTTCAGAATCATCACCTTCATCAGAGGCTGGACTACCTTCAGAAGGTTCACCTTCAAAGTCATGATTACTACTAGAAACATGATCATCTCTAGAAGCTTGTCCTCCAGAACCTACGTCTTCAGAGTTTTCCCTTCCAGAAGCATGACCACCACCAGATTCAGAATCTGGATCAGAATCAGATTCACCTTCTGACTCATCTTCAGAGTCTCCAGAATATTCTTCATCTTCTGACTCTAGCTCTTCTTCAGAACTTTCAAGTTCTGACTCATCTTCAGAAGCAGAATCTTCTTCAGATTCTGACTCATCTTTTGATTCTTCTTCAGACTTAGTCACCTTCGGATTCTGACTTGTCTTCAGCTTCAAAGTTATCTTCTAACTCTGACTCATCTTCAGAAACCTCATATTCTGACTCATCTTCAAAATCTTCAGCATATTCAAACACTCTTTCAGATTCAGAATATTCAGAGTCATCTTCTTCCCATTCAGAATCAAAAAATGACAATCTCACGGGTTCCTCATCAGATTCATAAGCCATTAATAGCACAAGTTCATCATCTGAATCTCCTCTGGCTATTTCTGCTGTTGACTAACAACAACTCAGATCTCACAAACACAGTGTTACCCAATCTCACAGAATTAGAAAATGTGATTCTGTTCAGATTTTGTTCAAGATTCAACACGAATTCAAAAACCAAAATCAATCCCACAACGCCTCACTGTTTCACTCGTGTTTCCCGTGAATCCAACCGGAGCTCTGATACCAATTTGTTGGTGCACCAGGTTAATAAATGAAGGAAAGGTAAGAGAGAATATATTTACTGCAATGACAGTTAAAAAACTTACAATAGGAATGATACAAATAATTGCTACTACTAGTCTATTTATACACAAAGTAAATTGTCACGTAGGCCCTAAAAAGTAAACTTAATGACTAAGTTAAAAGGTACAAATTAGGAAATACTAAACTTAACAGCTACGCTAACAAACTCAGAAACCAAAATCTTGTGATTGTGAATCAGGAAACAGAGCGAAATGAGTAACAAGCATACTTGCAAGTGGTCAAAATCTTTGTGAACTTCAAACATAAGCACAAGTTTGAAACTAGTACAAGAATAATCACATAACAAGAATATAAAAATATAGTTAGGTAGAGAATACGGGTTAAAAATGATTGACAAAATTGATCGATTCTAGATATTACCAACTTCTGCTCCAGGTAGTTATTCTTTTCAACTTGAGTTTTTTTGAAATCTGTCAGTTCTTTGATCTTTTGCACCAACTATAGAATATAGAAACATTACAAGTTAGTTATTTGTAAAAAAATCAAAAGTAATTAATATGTTACATATAATAATAGTCATCAAACATTTTCCACCACCTGAGCTATGTTGTATTGATGCTTTAGTGGAGAACCAGTAGTCTCCTCCTTCTCAAATGAAGAACAGGTATTATACGCCTTCTCAGATGGAGAACTAGGATTCTCCTCCTTCTCTAATGGAGAACTTGGATTCTCCTCCTGCTCGTCCGAATGCTTTCCTTCGGACCAATTCTCATTCGCATAAGGAGCGTCATTTACATTATCTTCCCAAGATAGACTTTGATTTGGATGAGCAACTGAAATTTCCTTTAGTTTCATCCATACGGTGTCCGTCTCATTTTGTGTCACTTCCACCTTATCAACTGAAAGAGTATCCAATGGCTGAAAGCATTCATCTAACAAATCACTCTCATTGGAACCTGATATCATACTTGAGCGAGAAGAGTGATACTGCTCAAACTCTGAGTCAGGCATTTTAAATGTTTTAGCTTTCCACGAAGGATCCTGGCATGGAAGACTTCGGGGTACAGTTACTTGATTCATATTGTGTGGAACATAATCGGCAGGGGCAATTGCCAAGGGTTGTAGTAAGGCAATCAACTGAGTTGTTTGTCCGTGGTCCAGCTCAAACCAGAAATGGTTATGATGGTAGTAGTTATCAGCAATTGCATGTCTAAATTTATCTTCAGACAGTGGCCGGCAATGCAATTGAACTCGGATTTGCACCTTGAACATGAATAACAAAAGCATATAATAACATAATTTAAATTTAACGAATAACCCATAATTGTCTTGAATAGCAATGAATCAATTAAACTAAACAAGAACAAAACCATTTCATACCTGAGCAGGAAACTGTGTCATTTCTTTGCCGTCACCGGTCCATCCATAACGATCTATATTCATTCTTCCATTACCAGCCGCCTCGAAAACTCCATGAAGCATCCTATCAGTATAGTTAAACAAAAACAGAGGCAACCCAGGTTGAATATGCTTCACGTAAGAGAAATGCGCAGCCGGTAATCCTGTTTTAGAAACACATAAAAGCTCCATGAGTAAGTAAGAGTTCACAAACCCTCATCAAAACCCTTAAATAACACAAAAATGATTTACCAAAGAGTTGTTTGGTTAAGCATTCTTTGATGGTAGCATTCTTGCAACCAAATATAACACCACCAAGTTGATCTTTCGTCAAATTTCTTCCAAACACAGATGGATTCGGACCAGGAGTGTAAAACTGATTCCCACTTGAACCAGGAATCTGTATTTTCTTCCAGTTCCCCATCCTGGTTACAACAACAACAACAACAGAAAGTTATTTCATCAAGAATGTAGGGCAAGAAACTGAAATCAAAACAAACCCAACTTATCACGACGCCGATTAAGCTTCATCGAAAGCAGAAAAAAAGTGAAAGTTTCTTTTCTTTTTTTTCTTGACACAAGATTCGCATGTGATTGAAGAACATTTATTGAAAGAGTCCAGTACGAAAAATGGAAATGCTACTATGAAGAATGATTTTCCGGAAACAGAAAAAGATTGACATGGACCACAGTTCAAAGAGGAGAAAAAACAAGAAGAGAAAATTAAAGGAAACACGTTTGGAAAATGACCAACACATCAAAGTTTCAAACTTTATTAATAGCGTAAAAACTCTGATATGACATGCAAATTTAAAATAAATTAAAAATTATCAAAAAGTTTGCTTTGCTTGTCATCATGAATGTGATTTTGGGATTAATTATACCTTTGGGAATGTGAAATGTGAAATGAGAGAGAGAGAGAGAAAAAAAAGTGTGTGAGAGAGAGATGGTGAGGTGGAGCAGAGAGTGGAAGAGTCTCAGGAAAACTGAAAATGTAGGATGCAGCTATGGTACAAAGAAAAGGAGGGAGAGCTTTTATTTTTATATTTTTTATTTATTTATTAAATAAAAAATTATTAATGTTTTTTTTACAGAGATTTATTACTTCCTCATATTCGGTCTATCATTTCATATTATTTAATTAAAATGTATCTATATTAGTCAATTAGATTAAAAAATGAGAAAAGTAAAATTACCTTTATGGTGGGTGACCAAACTAATTTGTTAACTTTTAAAAATGCAAAAAATTGCATTTTATTTATTCATGAATCATAAACATTACATGTATACGTAGACATTATTTTTCATCATATGAATACAATGATACACTCCTTTTGTCTAACTATGAAAAGTACATTACACATCTCAAATGTATTTTATTTCACATGAGTATAGGGACTAGGGAAATGCAAAAGGTATGTAAAACACTCATTTTCTTTTTATTGACAGCATAAGACACTCTAACTAATAATAGTAAAATTGCTATATCTGTTTCAAATACTTTTTACGATAAATAAATTTAGTCCAAGTTCCTTGAAAGCGATCTCATACATGGGAAATCTGTACTCGGGGAACTCCGAGCAGATCCACGCGGTCAGAGTCGGTCGGATGACGACGAAATTTTTCTAAAAGTCGGGCTGACTACCGCCCTGCTCGACGATAGTATACGCACTCCGGCTGCGCCGACTGTAAGCAGAAGCAATACCTATGGGCTCGGCGCCCACCCACTCCAGCAGAGGATCGTCGATGGTATCGACCAGATTCACATTCTCCTCGACGCTTTGATCTTCCACCTCATTGCGCCCCGAGGAACACGGTTCATCCGCCATTGTTACCTGCAAAGCACAGGAAGCCGGTCAATTGGGGAGCAAATCCACACGCTCGCCATAACTGACGGGAAGAAGGGCACGACCAACCGAGTCACACTTCACACACGATTAAAAAGTTGAAGTTTCGAACAAAAGAGTGGAGTCACCTCCCCGACGCCCATATACCGCGACAAGTCTTCCTACAGATCGCCTAAATGGGCCAACATCCCGGCCAGTCACGAATATGTCGACCTAGGCTATGAACATGGCGAGCGATATCATAAATCCTAAAACTAGAACTATGAATTTATCGGGCACTATCACGAATTAGGCGTCCTGAATCATGAAGATCCCGGGCAGCACTGCGAGTCAAATACCTAAACTATGCATTCACCGGGCACAAACATGCGTTTGCCGGGCATAAACATGGATTTGCCGAGCCAAAATACGAATCTACTGGGGCTAATCGCAGGCGCACAGTCTCTAACGTACAAAACAATGGAAAATATCACATACCACAGAAGAAAAACATGAGGGATATGACACTTACTTGAAATCAGGAAAGAGATACGGCGGCGGAGAAGAGAATCAGCGGCGGAGAGCACGGCAGTCCTATGAAAAACAGCAGCAGTAGAGACAGAGGAAGGAGGAGAAGCGCGAAGAGGAAAAACACATTTTGGGGCCCAAGGATCCTATTTATAGTGATGATGTGGAATACAAAACGTCACTCCGGGGAACCACGAACCTCCCTCCTCGACGCCTAGCTCCCCTAAGCAATGATGACCCTATCTTCGATAGGGTGGCGGCACGGTTCCCAAGGGATGCCTCGTGTGCTCAACAAACATAGCCCGTCGAGAGTTCCCCGAGCACTCCTCGAAAGGAATTATCTCACGAGCGCGACACAGGGGAAACTCCTCGAGTAACCACGGGGAACTAAATCTTTTGTCCGAGCACGGGACCTCGTGACGGAGGCGAGCTAAGATCAAGTCATGGCTCCTACTCCAGGAACCACGACTTGGGGGCTTCTGTTCTGGGCCGGGCTGACCCAAAAGCAAGGATGAAGGCCCAATCCAAACGGCCTTGCAGGGGGTCGCGCCGACCAAGAGGCTACAGGCGTGTCCACGACATCCTCGACTTCATGCAGTCCAGCTCGACCTCAGCTCGAGCACTCCTCGTAGGGAAGACTATGATCATTACACCATCACCTGGATTCCAAAAAGACCGCGTCCCCGTTCGTCCGTACTTCTCGCAGAACACCCAGGAAGGAGGCCACGTGCGGGTCCCCACTACACACGTAGAACCTGGCAGTTCCTTCATTGGGTCAAACCTGCCCGGCCCAATGAAGGAACCTTGGCCCAGCGCTAGGGGCTATAAATACCCTCTGTTCCCAGAGGATCAGGTATTCATTCTTTTACCATACACACACTTTCTTACCTGCTCGTACTGCCACTTAGTTTAGCATCGGAGTGCCTTGCAGGTACTCCCCCATCTCGTTCAACCTCAACTCAGAGCCAGTCGTGACGGTTTAAGTCTGATCCGGTAAGATCAAAACTGTTTCAAATGTAAACAGTTATTTTCTTAAAAAACTAGGAAGGGACCCAACGTTGTTTATTTTCAATGTGAAATATTATTAATTTTTTTTGTTTTCTATGAGTTTATAACTAAAGAAATATATAGTTTTGGATAAGTGATTATATTATAATGGTGTAATCAATTGATATATTTTATGTCTTATTGTAATATAATTTTATTTTTACTTCTCAAAAAGATATTTTTTATTATTCTTCATATTACTTGATTTGTGCTCATTTTAAAATGAATGAATGAATTGATCCATCTTTCAAAAAATATTAAATACATGATAACATGTATTGAATAAGTTTATGTAATTTCCAATGCATAGTATAATTAAAAATAAAAATTTAAAAAGAGGATTAAATTTATAAAATTGAAATTAATATTATAACTAAATAAAAACTATTTAATATTATATTAAATAAATCATTTCTCTTAGTTATGTTTACGAATAAAATCTATAATATAAGAAAAGTAAATCTACTCATTCTGACATTTTTGTCTTTTTGTTACAATAACACTACACGTGGATATCTTCTTTGGTCTCTATTCCATATTTCATATTCTTGTCTAGTCTCCTTCCATGGTGTCTGTATCCTCTCTCTCCAGCTTCCCCTATTCATTGTTCCAAGATCTTTCTGATTCCAAATATTTCATAGGTTTGCTTTCTTAATTTAACTCACAATTAGATGAAAAACGGTTTCTCTTCCATCTACATATCCTCACGGAAAAACAGTTTCTCTTCCATCTACACAAATTGTCTCTCACTCATTACATCATTCATCGTCTTCTTTTCCCATGCCTCAGATCCATCCTCTCTCTGTTCTTCCATTTGTGTTCATTTTTTTGTGTGTATGATTTTGATTTTTTTAGTATTTTGTTTATCAGGTTAATTAATTGATTTTGGTTGTTCATGAGATCGTTAAGCCATGAAGGGTTTTGGATTGTGCAACTGAGTTGTTATTATGTATCACCTTCAGCGAATTCAAGGGCTTTCGCTACACCATTTAGTGTTAATCGATCTTCTCCAATTGATGTTTCGCCTATGTTCGTTGATCTAGGCGATGCTGCACGCCATGGCTTCCCATATAGGCATTCAGATCGATATGAACCCCAACAATATTTCTTATGAGATTTAATTGAAGCATGGAGTTGATCTAATTGGACCAGTAGATTAGATTTTATATGACATATATGACACCAACCAATGATCATGCTACTGATGGTTGTTTCATCTCTATCGTAAGTATTGAAAAAAATCTCCAATAAACATATTTTCATCTCTATTGTTAGTACTGATAATCATGTTATGGCATTATTGTGTTAATTAATTACACAAAAGAACTATACTTTAACGACAGTATAATTTTATGACATTGTTTATATAGCAGAGACAATTTCGTCTCTCTTTAGGCAGTTTGCATTGTTTTCTAATTTCTAAATAAAACTTTAGAGTTATACTGTTATTAAATAAAGGAAGAAAGTTAACCAAATAATATTGAAAGATTGCTTAAATATATTTAAATTTATTCTAAATAAAAATATTTTACATTTATTCAGTAACTAATTGATGATAATCGGTCAGGTTTAGGTTTATAGTAATTATTAAATATTAATGAATAGGTTTATTACATAAATCAATGAATAAACTTATTAAAACAACAAATAATAATTTTTTCTAATTGCTGTGATTTTTTGTGTGAGTATCATACAGTATATAATAGTAAATGTCATCGTTAAAAATAAATACACTATATTTCCTTAAATACATAAATTATAATTATAATTATTAAAAAAGAAGATTTTTTTTATATCATATGCTAGTTTATATATTTTACATGTAATTTATTGGTTGACATAGCAATATTATAGTATATTTTTATTTGCATTTGGATTTCTATTTATAATTAAGTACACGTGTATTCCTATAAATGTACTTGAATTTTAACCATTTTCACCATTTTGCAAAGAGTGGAAAGTGGATTTGAATATCAAATGATATTATAAATCACTAATGTTTAGGTTATATTTTATGGGAAAAGAAACAAAGATTGAGAGAGCTACTAACTACAAACTTGTTAGCGGTCTATATTATGCATCAATAAACCAAAATTATATTTTCTATATCAAAACAAATAAAAATGGTAC